ATATAAATAATGATCACAAAATATACAAATTAATTTTTCTTTCTTTTCCTTCCACAAATATTTGTAGTTCGATATTGTATTTCTGACAAATTCCATATAATGTTTTCAGTTTTTTTTGATAAATTCATAGAATTTTTGACAATTTATGTCAATGTTCAGTTTAGTACATAATTTCGCATCAATTTCGCGCATTTTGACGATCATCCCATGCATTATTAAAAATACTCTTTTTACGTAAATTAAAGAAGTGACAAATTTCTTTAATTTGTTATTATTTTTTAAAATTAAAAATTATGTAATGTTTTACACTTCCATTTATGTAATTGTTTAAGTATTTCGGAGAAATAATAATTGAATTATAGAATGGATTTAAATTTTCAAAACTCAGAATCTCCAGAGCAAACTCGAAGAGGTAGCAATCTTAATTAAGGACTTGATTATTTAGGTAAATCTTCGATCGGCCGGAAGGAAACGTTTCGCACATCTGAGCGCTACTCAAGATGAAATTCACGTAGATGCGCCGGTGCCGTGGGGTGAAGATACCTTATTTACTTTGGAATTTCGCCCAACGACGGGTGATGACAACAGTCACGGGAATCATTCTAAGTCCGAGGGTGGTCATTATGCGCTACATACTTGTAATAATAAGTACCTTGCGCGTGATGGCAAACTGCTGGACGCCTGCACGCGAGATTGCCTCTACGCCGCGGAATTTCACGCTGGTCTTCTCGCTCTTCGGTATTTACTACTAAATAACTTTTTTATGTTTTTTTATATATCAAAATAGAATCTTTCTTAATGAACTTAGTAAGAAAAAAAAATGTATATATACAAAGTGCAATCTTTTTATTAATTTCAATGTTAATTAAACATTTTGACGAATTAAATTAAACTAATTGAATTTTTATTTCTATAAATTAAAACTTTCAGGGATATACATGGTGCGTATTTAGCACCGATCGGAAGTAAAGCAGTTTTGAAATCCAGATCAACAACTGTTACGCGCGATGAACTTTTCTCATTGGAAGAATCTCTGCCGCAGGCATCCTTCGTCGCGGCATTGAATCAGCGATATGTTTCTGTGAAGCAAGGTGATTATTTCGTTATAGGATGAATGTGATTGAAAATTAATCGCGATCATTGCTCTGATTGATTAGGTGTTGATGTGACGGCCAATCAGGACGAGATCTCCGGCCACGAGACATTCCAATTGGAATTTGACCGAGTGACAAAACGATGGTACGTGCGAACGATGCAAGACCGTTACTGGAGTTTGGAGGCTGGCGGAGGCATACAAGCGTCGGATCATAAGCGCTCGTCGAACGCGCTTTTCGATCTAGCATGGCAATCAGAAGACGGCACAGTTGCGTTGCGTGCGAACAATGGCAAATTTCTGGCTACCAAACGATCCGGCCATCTCTACGCGAACGCTGAGTTAAATGGCAACGACTCTGATGCCGCCAAGTATTACTTCTACCTGATGAATCGGCCCGTGCTGGTGTTGCGATGCGAGCAAGGCTTCGTCGGGCCGAAGAGCACGGCCAGTCCAAAGCTCGAATGTAATAAGGCTGTTTATGAAACGATTCGTGTCGAACGATGCGAACGTGGTGAAGTCAGATTTAAAGGTGATTGCACTTCTTCAATTTATTTAACTTGTTTTATTACTGCCAAAAAGGGACAGGAGTTTTGTATAGTTAAATTGAAGACAAAATTTGCGAATTTATTTCAGCAAAGGAAATGAATTCTCTATAAAAGTATTATATTTGAGCTGAAAAAATTGTAATATAATATAAAATTGAAAAAGTTGTAATATAAAACTGATTAATAGGAAATAATTGTTTTTATACATATACTGATTGCGAAGAATATCACTAGGGTAGCCTTGGTGATCTAAAACTTAGGACGCTCGCGCGGAATGTTAGAGATCCGGAAAGTTCGACTTGCGATCGTAATATTTTTTGTAATAAGTTTTTTACAAATTTTTAAGACATAATATATGTAAATAAAATTTTGGGGGAATTATTAATATTTCAGGATTATGTTGAAGATCCGATAGTAACGGCGTGCAATCATATTTCTGGCATTCATTTAAAGAATACATATATGTATTAGTTTAATATTTAATTTTGACCGTCAAATAGCGTTTCTCTTATTTAAGTCTTGTCGTACAATTGTAAATAAATTTTACATTTACGTAAACACATTTTACTGTTTATAAGAAATAATTAAATAATTTTAATAAATAATTTAATAATTGAATCATAAATATATATAAATAAAATAATAATTTAATAATTTAAAATAAATTATATTTATATGGACGGAGCCAACGCCGATAACTTTGACCTTGTTATTGAGTAGCCCTCAACAGGTTTAATCGTTGCTCTTCATACAGCACATTTTATTCTAGGGATAGGTCATTTTAGGATATCGCGATAATCTTGATATCCATGGACAGTCTTATTTACTCAATAAATATCCAGGGGATGTACAAGTGTGTGAAAGCCACAAATGTCTTAGACGACATCCGTGAAATATCCAAGGAACTCCATGAGGTATCACAAATATACAGAATGTCTCGCAATTTTTTGCCAAGCGCTTTTGTGTAAATAGAGTGGACTTACTGAATCGAAAAGCCCTTTATCATTTTGCAATTTTTGCAACAATTAACAAGATATTAATTACTAAAAATCGCTGAATATTAGTTTTTAATAATTTTTTACTCAAATACTATCAACTTTACAGAAAAACAGCAAGAGACAAAAAGTTTATTCTCTTCTTATAAAGTTCTGAAAATTTTTTCAGAATTTTTTTTTAATACCGTATTTTCTCATGTTGGTAAAAATAGTTGCCAATAAAAAAATCAACTAAAAAGTTGATAAAAAATTCTTAAAAAATTCTTAGAGTTCTATAAAAAGAAAATAAACAATTTTTATCTGTGTTGTTTTTGAAAGTTGATAATATTTGAATAAAAAATTATTGAAGACCAATATTCGGCAATTTTTAGTAATTATAATATTTCGTTAACCATTGCGAAAATTGTTTCGACTCAATTTAATCCGTTCTATTTGCGCTTGGCCAAAAATTGCGAAACACCCTGTGTATGTATGCGTATGTATATGCGTATGTTTTGTTATCTAAAATAAAAGGAAAATGTTTTCCATAATATGGAATGTATTCCATAATATTATGAAAGCGAAAAATATGTATGTTGTCCCATTATTACATAATGTAATAAAAGGTTAATTTGAAATAATATATGTCACATCTTTGTAATTTGTGTATTCTTAGGCTGTGTTCGGAAACATTATCCGAGTATCTCCGTATCAGTTTGCCTTGTCATCGTGTCATTTGTAGCCAAAATAACTATGACTATATCTTTACTTTTGATCTTTTATTTCTGACTGCAAACCGTTACTGTACTCTGGGCATCCTTAGGACATTTCTTAACTGTGTTGGAAGGATTTGAATATGGTAGAATATTTTAAAATATTAATAGAATATCTTATGATACCTTACGATGTTTTATGATATTTTCTTTGGATATTGTGGATGGGATATCCATGGGATCGCTTTGTCAATTTAGGATATCCTCAGGAATAAAGTGTGCTATGTGGATCATTATTCGTTAAAAAGTTATTAATAAAAAAGTTTAAAGTATATTCTCTTATTTCTAGTATATGTATATAATATTAAATACTATCTTATACTTCTTACTTATGGGGCATAAGGACTTTCCACGCAAAGCGAGGTTCACTTCTCCCCTATAAGAGATGCACAACAGAGGATGAGATAGACCTCGCTTCGCGTGAAAAGTCATTATATAAGCAGGGGAAGATGTAGTAATGTTTGTAGTAATTGTATGTGGCAGAAATAAGAGTGTTATTTAAAAAATGTTTTTATATAATTTATTTGTTAATAACAAATAACGAGTAATGGCTGATCTGTTGAAGATCATTCAAGATCACGAATTACCTTGATAACATATGTCAAGTTCATCAACATTGGCTCCCTCCATATAAATATTTACCGTATAATATAGTAGTAAGTATAGTAGTAAATAATATCTAACGAAGAACTATCCATTTATTTTTTTTCCTGAAATTTGTAAATTTTATTTCCACACACACGCGCGTGTGCGCACACATAATTTAATTATACAAAACCTGTCCTCTCTTAAATCACCTTGAATTAATACTTTATATACATTCTTTTTTGCATAAATCGCTATATATGTCTGATAATTTTACCGAGATAATTTTTAACTCTCGCAGACAAGTAGGACGGTTCTGATTTATAAACTTATTATGAATCAGAAAGTCCTGTATCACTTTATAATTTTGGCAATAGTTAACAAAATATTAATTTTTATAGATCGTGTATGAATAAGTATATCCACTCAGTTATATCGCCAAATGCATGCTCATCGTGGTCGCTAGACATTCGGAGAGTTGTTTATTATAAGTATTAGTAGCAATAGTTTCGCGGTAAAAGCCGCGAAAGAAAACAATTCCCCGCATCCCCAGAAATTACGACCAATAGGCGTGCATTTGGCAGTAGCGGATACGCACTTAATTTTTAGAAATTAATATCTCGTTAATTGTTGCAAAATAGTACAAGACTTTTCGACTCAATTTAGTCTGCTTTACGAGCGTTGTCGATAGAATTACCAAACACCTTGTATAATATAAGGCGATAAGAAGGATAATCAACTAATTATATTATTAGGTGTGGGAAAAAGTTCGTGGCGTTTTTCCCATTAAATGTCATTAAAAAAATATATTATATATTATTGTATATTAAGAAGTATTTGTCTCCCACTTCAGATAAATTGTATCATTTGTCTTTATTATTTTATAGGACAAAATGGTAAATATTGGCATGCAGACAGCGAGGGAGTGACCGTGGATTCAGACATGCCGTCCGACGGTTTTTATTTGGAACTGCGTGAGCCGTCACGCATCTGCATCAAGTGCGTAGATGGCCGATATCTCACCGCAGGCAAGAATGGAGCGTTGCGTTTAGGCGAGTCAGACTATGAGTCTGCCACGAAATGGGAGTTCTAATGCGGAGGATAAAACGTAAATGTATTCAACTGCCTCCTCAGCTTTGTGGTCGTAACTCGTAGCACCGTGTCCCCGGAACAACAGCAAGAGATCGGCAGTTTGCGCTGTTTCCTGCCACATACTTAATCGAGCATGCCGTATCGCGTCAAAACGACGAGTTTTTGATATTCGATGTTCTACTGCAATATATACTTTTTTTTTCTTAGTAAAGTTTCGTGGTTCCACAGTATATTCAAGACTGGCGGTTTATACATGGATAACGTAAAAGTTCGAGAGATATTCAAAGGACCGGCTATTACAATTACGGTCTATTTTATAAGTAAAATACACACACTTTTATATCTTTATATATTTATAGATATATACAGTTGCCACTGCAAATTCAATTGTATATCGATGCCCTTTGTATGTATTTACACGTTTATTCATAATCCTGAGACATTGATCATAAAATTGGTTTATCGTTATTAATATACTTGTTTAGTTTATCTTATCTTATTCTGAGACAAAAGGAATTTATAAGTATAAATCGATCAATATCAAGGCATTTAGAAAGAAACAGAGATTTTTCTTTCTGCTCACAGCGTAGTAATGGGTTTTTGCTATCGTTATGGGTATATTTTTTATATATTAAATAGATTTTTTTTTTTTAAAGGATATATATACATATTATATACATAAAATGTTCAGGATAACGGTCCGCACTGTTTTTACATTTCCGACAATTAAAAAAAAAGGAAAGAAAGATGAATATTTATCGATTTCATGTAGATAAGCCATAAAAAATTTTAAAAAGTTTTTAATAAAAAAAGTCAAGGTTGAATTTTTTAAATAATTCAATTTTTTCCATAATATTATAAGAGTCTTCAAGACAAATTCAACGTACTATTGAGAATGTCACTTTTATTGAGGTTTTGTTAAACTTATACACAAAAGATACATGTATTATAAATATTCATATATAATAAAGAAAAACTATGTGATTTATGAACAAATTTTATTTTTATTTTATGTGAGTTTTAATTAATTTTTTTAATTTATGTAAATGTTTCAAATTACTTGCAATATAAAGTTCTGTTCTTTTTAACAAATTATTGGGTCCGGAAAGTTCGTGCCGATTTTGAAGGAAAATTGAAACGCAGATTTAAATTTTTAATTTCATTTATTAAATTTAAATCTTTTACGGCACGAACTTTCTAGACAATCCAATACATATTACTACGCGTAACAGTTATTACACTATTTTGATTCAAAATTGCACAACCTGTAATTATTGTCTCTCAAAGATTGAATATTATTTATTGATGTTTGATATAAAAAATTTCAAATATTCCTACAAGAAAAAATCCATCGGAGATAAATCCAAAAAATGTGCCGGTTATCGAACTGATCCATGTACTTATATTTCAAAGATATTCTGAAAATAATTTTGAATTATTCGTGCATTATGGACTGAGCAATCATATGGATTAAATATATCAATAAAATCTGTTATAAATTAATAAAATTTATTTACATAGTCTTTTTTTATTAATGGATATATATATGGATATATATATTATTATTAATGGATGGATTATGATATACATATTATGTTTATACATATAAAATCAATAAGACATTAATAAAAGTGACATTCTCAATAGTGCGTTGAACTTTTGAAGACCTCCTACAATATTATGAAATTGTATGGTGCTATTTAAAGAATTCAAAATGACTTTGATTTATTTTATTAAAAACATTAAAAAAAATTTTTTATCGCATTGTAGTCCATATGAAACAAATAAATATTCACCTTTTTCTTTAACCATCTAAAAAATCGGACCGTTATGCTAAATCCTGTACACACACACACACACACACACACACACACACCCACACCCACACACACACACACACACACACACACACACACATGTATATATATATATAATAAGAATAATTAAGAATCACGCTTGAAAGAAAAGACACAGATCCAATGCGACCAATATTCAATTGCTGCCTCCCAAGTCGGTATTAATTTACAGATTTCGTTATCAAGACACATCTGTTACGATCATATAAGTTAGGAAAAGCTCATTTAACAGATGCACACTCAGTTTTGCTGTACTAATAGTACAGTATTACTCTGCTTCACACCATATTAGCTTACTGCGTATGTTAAGCAAATGAAATATGCCGAATTAAGGCTTGGTGATGGAAAGATTCGCAGCGTTTTTTGTGAAATCTGTTTGCTTTTTTCTTTTTTTTTGGGAATGCTATTTAATGGATTTTGTCGCGTGTGTTTTAGCAGTAAGATAAGTTTCATTTCAGTTTCCTCGCTCTTTTCATAATGATAAACAAAAAATCGACAGAATCGTAATATGATTTAGGAATATAATGTGGAAAATTAAGAATTCTTTAGTTCGAGAAAAAATATTTCGAGAAAAAGTGGAGAGGTGTGTGCGTGTGTGAGAAAGAGAGAAAGAGAAAGAGACATTAAGATACGTAAGTCTCTTGTAAATACGTTTGCCTCTTCAATATAATTACATTAATTATCGTAATTATAGCATGATACTATATATGCGCCTCGCGTCGCTTAATTTTAAATGAGAACAAAACGTGTGTACGATGCGAAAAGCGAACGAAAATATATGTTCGTTGAATACTTTACTTTTTTGGACAAAAATGCTCAGATGTATGGGTCGATTTACAGACGACGATATACGTATTATTCTCTTAAATATAGTAAGCCTCAATCATTTCTTTTTACTACTTTTTCACAGTAGAAACGCATTAAGAACAATGGATGTAATAAATTAAAAGATATAATAAGATAATTTTTTATTGGTCAAGACTTCATCGCCGAATTATTTCAACCATAAATGTAGCTCCTTTCTGGAACTGATTTACATATATACAGGATTATACACAGGTTTGTTGTTTTCTATTTTAGTAAGATTTTAATAAGATTCTTCAACTTTCAATTGATTTATATAAAAATCGTAAGATACATAAGCCATCTTTGTTTACAAATCAGCTTGAATGATGATTTTATATGTTAAAATTAAAGAAACAAACTTTTAGCCACTAGTTAAATTCATTGCTATACAACATTCATTAAAGTCTGTTATTTTCATTAAATTTTCATTAAAATCTGTTAAAAATATTTACTTTCCAAGTTAACGATGGAAAACTGTGACAGGTATCGGTAAGATGAAAGTTGTAATACAATTTATATTATTGTAAAATATTTATTAAGTTGCTGTTCGTTGTCTTCGAGCAGCTCGATCCTCTATTTCTAGGTAATACTTATTGAATATTATTTTCAATGTCGGGTACATCAAAGGCAAAAGCGGCAATTGCGACAAGCTAATATGCATATTATCGTATGCAATGCCAACATTATCTAGTTTAGGACCATTTTCCGGCAAATGAGGTATTACAGAATAACGTTGACTAAAGTGCGTCAATAGTGTAAACTTCGATTTCATTTTTTCGCCTGCCTGTATAGCCTGCGAGACCGTCGAATGAAACTTCAGTTTCGCGTCTTCTATCAGATCGTCCTCCATTGTCGCTTCATGGATGAGTAGATCGCAATTTTGACCAAGTTCCACGAGACGCTCACAGGGCATAGTATCGCCACTAAATATACAATATCACATATATATTTCACATATATAATTCATGTAGCATCAAAAAAGAATAAAATATTTCGAACTAAATTATAAAATAATTCAAAGACTATGTTTCTACTGTTGAGTGAACAATTGAGTGAACACTTGGGATTTTAAAGAAAGATTTATAAAATTACTATACTTACCTATATACTATTTTCTTCCCATTATGGAGTGTCACAGAAACGCCATAAGAATAAGGACAATGTTCGACATATACTGTCTTCACGGCTTGTACGTTCAATGTATTATACATGTTTCTGTATTTATACAATTCTGGGTTATGCGAGTCCATATAGAACTCGTTGTTTTTTATCAATGTCATTCGATGTAAAATAGGTTCAAAACGTGTATGATACATATGCAACCAGACGTTGATATGCCCTGGTGCTAACAGATACAAAGGATCTTCCGTAACCTTCCTTCTCGCCTTCAGCAAACCAATCAATCCTATGTGATGATCCGCGTGCATGTGCGATATATACACTCCCTAAAATACAATTCAAATATTACAAGTCGCCATTGCGGAATTTATAAAAAAAAAAAAACAAAATAGAAAAAAGAAATATTTATAGAAATAAATGAATCGTCTTACTTTTATCGTTTTTAAGATATTGTGCGCCTCAGACTTTCCATAGATTTTCACTATCTGACCGAACGTTCCCTCTCCGCAATCTAGTAACATACTGTGGTCTTTATCCACTCGTAAAAGTATGCCGCTCGTGTTTCTGACTTTACTTGGTATGCTAGATCCAGTGCCCAACATGACAATCTTCGGATATTCATTGTCAATATGTAACGTCTTCGTTCGAGCATTGATTTCTGTTTGGAGTTCCGCCAACGCATCTAAAATACCATCAATCTCGAAAACTTCGTTCACATATTCCTCTGGATGCAGCGATACCTCATTCTTTGTATCGAATTTCAATTGTGGCTGTAGATGAACAGTGTGATGTGTTTTGGGACGATGTATAATGGGCAGATCTTCTTCCTAAAAAAAAAAATTGTATTTAATTATTTTTAAATTATTAGGTATTTCTAAGATTAAATAACGAGTTCATAACAATGTGTCTTACCCTTATTTTTTTTTGGAAGCTTTCCTCGTTTAAGAAAGGAAATATTTCAGGGTGTAGCATATGGAGTTTGTGCTGATGTCTGTGCATCGCTTCAGTACCCATGCATTGATTCTCTTCATTCACGACTATATGACGCGTATTAAGACCAAATTTGCTCATCCAGGTCACATAGCGAGAATTATCCATCACTTCTTGTGGAGTAAAATGAATGACGCAATATGGTATATCATTTTTGTTCGCCGTTCCTATTTGATGCTGTACGAAGGCAGGATGATTTACAAAATTCTCTAAGTAATCTTCTGATGGACACTCTACAACTGTAAAAGTACACAAGTAAAATTACACAAGTAAAATTTAAAATAAAACAAGTAAAAGATATTAAAATGAAAATTTAAGACTCCTATCCTCTCACCACTATTATTTCAGATTGTGAAATCAGTCAGAAATGAAAAAAAAATAAACAATAAAAACAAATCATATTAATATGGAAATATTTCAATAAAACAATAATCGCCAGAATCAATTTGTAAATATACCAAAAAAGAGGGCATTTTTGCCTCTAAGATACACCTGAATAAATCTTGAAAAATCATTATTTGGGTCTCCTCAGAGAAGAGAGAACAATCATTTGTCTGGGAAATAATAGGAACATTACTAGAATTGCTTAAACATAGTAAAAAGTGAGATTATTTACATATATAGTTAACAAACGAAAAATAATGATTTTAGCCAGAAACGTAAGTATATTCTTCATATAAAGGTCGCGAATTACTTTAGCATTATGTAGAGATACACTAAAATGATAAAATCACGTAGAGGTACAGTCCGCCTAGCATTCCTCGATAGAGAGAATAAGACTTCACAATTCATTATTCCTGTAATGTTTTTTTCCTGTAGCGACTCCGAACCTCTCTGCCATGCATGCGTATATGACATTAATAAAGTGAGCGAATTTACATTTCATGTGCATTTTTATCAGAATTTGATCATACTAAACTTATTCTCTGAGGACTCAAATAATCATTTTTTTAAGATCTATTCAATATCTTGTGGTGAAAACAGACATTTTTTTAATCCTCCTTTCCTTTTTCTTTGTTAATTAATAAATAATCATATATCTGAAAATCAGGGTTGGGTAAGTTAATGTTTTTTTTTAAACTGAATAAAGTTAAAGTTAATGCCTAGGCTTTACAAAATTAATAAAGTTAAAAGTTGAAGGAATAAAAAATTAACTTAACGTAAGTTAAGTCAATATTGAATTAATTTAAGTTAAAAAAAGTTAATTTAATTTTGAAAAAGAATTATTTTTTAGATCAAAAGGTCTTAATTTTTCTTAAAATGAGATTAAATAACTACAATATAGATTATTAAGTAAATTTAATTTTTGTATTCGTATGTGATATAAATATATAACACATAACGATATAACTATATATAAGTTATTTAACTTTAAAAAGCAGCACAGATACAAGATCAGTTTACTTTTTAATAAATCTTAAGCCGTAAGAAATTGACCAATTACAATCGAATACGAGAAAAATATTTGACTGTAATTGATAATTTTCTTATAACTTAAAGTTTAAAACACCTATTGTAGATGTGGACTAAGACTTAGTCCAGACTAGACTTGACATAAGGCATAACCGCATAAATCAATTAGAGGGCTATATTAGCATCTTAAGAAATTACTTAAGATGATCTAAAATATGAACAGATTACGAATATACGTCCTTAATCTTATTATTTTTCTAAGATATTTAAAAGAGATAAAAAAATTGTTTACCTTAAATAAAAGTTAAAAAGTTAACGTTTAAAAGTAACTTAGTTAAGTTAAAATTTAATACATTTAAAATTAACTAAGTTAAATTAAAAGTTATTAACTTTTTAATTTTTTTTTTAACTTTTAACGTTTTAATTAGTTATTATCCAATCATGCTGAAAATGAATTATGTATAATTAGAAATGAAATAAGCTATGTTCAGTTATGACATTAATTATCAAATTAATAATATGTAGAAATAAATATGATTTAATTTCTCCCCAAAAAACAAGAATTATATTTTATAAGTCTAGTGAAGACAAATGTTTTATTGGAAAATATTTCTATTCAAATATAACTTGTAAGAATTTGTTTTCTTGCTTTTGATATCACAATCTGAAATTAGTGATAAATAGAACTTTAAATAAAATACTTTGTTAACATACTTATAAAAATAGGGCCTGGTGTTGCTGGCGAGCAAACATCCTTGCTCAAAACAACTGTGCCATCAGGAAGAGTAATATCTGCACCAGTTTTGAGTTGACCGAGTAAAGGCCCAGGTTTCACTCCTTTTTCTACACATTTTTGCAAGGATAATGTACCCGCTCGAGGTTGCAATTTGCAAATGTAAGACATTACAGACGATATTCTATTGTCAGACTCCTGATTGATCTTCTGGACTTTAGACTTTTTTTCTATTCTATCAGGTACTCGCTTGCTATTTGAGTTAGTCTTATAATCATAATAATTTATATTGATTACATCTTCTTCTACATCAATAGGCTCTGTCTTTTGCACATTTGAATTTATAATGGAAACATACGAAACGGACATTACTGAATCTATGTATGGCTCCGACTCATTACATTTGGCCTCATTAATCTTCAGAGCCTGTAGCAGCACAGTTTTCTTAATTGTATTAAATATTTCCATTGTCCCCTTGGGACAATGTATATTGATTTTTGGCACTCCAGCATCCTGTATCGTTAGAAGCATTCCCGGCATGCCGCCCAAGTTATTCCAAGTTGCTGATGTTATAAATACGTGCTCCAATTTGATTAGCTTGTACTTATGCTCATATGCCAATCTCTGCGTTCCTTCGCCACAGTTAAAAATATACCTGGTGTGACCTGCTGTCAAATAGACACATCGTGATGTGCCATAAGCTCCAGTACCCAGAATCTATAAGTGATAAAAAAATATTCATAATTAAATATTCAATATTTAATCATCTCCGAAACATTCTCGTTCGACTGACCTGCAACGACACCTTCGTGTTTCCAATATATTTCGCTGACTTCTCTTTTATCTTCTGTCTCATGCGTTGCATGCCAAGCATATGTTCGACGGAACGTGGCATGATCTGGTTATTGTAAATCGACGAGAATTGCTTATAGGGCGCCGACAGGTTGTGCCGGAGATTTCGGCTAACGGGAAAGAGTAGCAACATGCGATAATTACTCTTTATGACATGACATACGAATGAGCACACGTTGGACCTCATTCATTCGGTCTTCTTTCTTATCGTATCAAGAACCTTCGGTAATGACACCGGTAATCGCAGACAGGAAAAAATTATTATATGCAATGATGCAAATAAAAAGTCATTGCATCCTTATACTTGACACTAACACGATCTCTAATAATTGATAACCTACAACAAATGACATGACGAACCCAATTGCTAGGCTAACGGTTCTGAATCTGATCCATAGTATAACGGTATATTTTCATGAGTCGCCGGCTGTTTCAGGCTGCGATCAAAGTCTCACTACAAATTTTTGAAGCGTTTGATTAACCAATTAGAAAAAAGAATTCATACCCTCAGGGTACGGTCAATGCGATGCTGCAAACGTTTTGAAGGGTTTTTTAACTGGTCGGTTTGTAAAATTCTTTCTTCTAATTGATCCATCAAATGCTTAAAGCATTTATAGCAAGACTTTGACTACAGCTTCAGTTATAAAAACGATCACATGATCCAAATTGATATTCGTCAATTTCGACCACGTGATTTCTTTTGTCGTCGAAACAGCTGGTTGAAGCGGCTCGCTAAAAATGTACCTTAAAAGTATTTTTTCATGATAACTCTCTCTTTTCTTGCAGTCACTTTCTTTATATTCACGCGAGCAGACGACGCGGCGCGTCATATTTATGCGCAATTATTGAGTAATTATTTCATTACTGAGGATCATGTCGTGGTGTGTCGCTCTTCTTTCCATTACTTTATGAAACATAATTGCGAAAAATGTTAAATATAATATGAAACGTCATACTTTATAAATATTCACAGTATACGATTATTATCTTAACAGCACAAAATGGACTGTAAGTTGATTCTAAGTTGACTATAGCTTCTAGACGTCTGAAAAATAGACGTTCGTAATGGAAGTTAACTTTAGACTTGGAGACGTCTCTAAGTCATATAAAGTCCCACTTTAAAGATTGTAAGCCGACTTTAAGTCAACTATTCCAGGCTGTGATCCGATTCATGCCCACAAGCTCATAAACAGCATTCATCCTTGTTTAACTATAATTAAACAAGGATGAAATGATTCCACATCTAAGCTTTGTGAGCGTAAATCGCATTACGTTCTAATGCAAAAGTCGATATTGGAACGACGTTTGTACAAAGTCGATTTACAGTTGACTCTAAAAGCCTGACTTAGCAAAGTCAACTTATAGACATATCGACGTTTGTGCTGTTAGGATAGCCCTAATACACCTTTATACCTGGATCATTGTGTCCTACGCTCAATGTTTTTTTTTTTTGAAATACTAATGCCCATTTAATGTAAATTAACTTTAATCTCAACTTTTCTTTGTCTTTTTCTAAAGAAAGTTCTAAAGATAGAAAAAAGACGAAGAATAAGTTGAACCGAGATTAAAGTTAATCTACATTGATGGAAATGGGCATAAGGCCCAGTTTCACAATTTACGATTAACTTTTATTTTAGGGGCTTCGCACAATAAAAGAAACAGGGAACAGAGAACAGAGAATAAGAATTTCAACCTATCAGAAACTATGTATTCCACAATACATGATTTCTGATAAATTGAAATTCTTATTCTCTGTTCTCTGTTCCCTGTTCTTTTTATTGCGGAGATCCTTAATCGAGGTTCAACTTATTCATTGTCTCTTCCCAATTCTAGAATTGAAAAGAGATGAGAAACTAGTTGAATCTCAGTTAAGAGTTAACCATGAGTTTGTGGAACTGGATCTAAGAGCACCTGAGGCTCTATTCTAAAGTTCTAGGGAAATACTATAGTCTTTGTAACGTATACTGTAGCATTTCCCTAGACTTTCGTATATGTTTCTTTTCAAGAATAGAGCCCTTGATCAAATACTGATCTCTTGTTTATTGTTAAGGGCCGGTTCCCAGCAAACGAGAATGAATCGATTGAAATTTTTTTCTATCCGAATGTGTATTTTAAATAGCGAATTTTTTTTTGCATTTAATTGAATTCAATTGGATTCAATTAAATTCAATTGGATGCAATTGGATTGAAGAATTGCATTTCCTATTAAAAATTTTGAATTGAACAGTATTCACAATGCACAAAAAATTAACTTATTTTTAAATTGAAAGGCATAGAGATATGCTCCATGCAATTCCTATAAATGAATAAAAATGCATTCAGGATTGAAAAGCATTCATTTTAACATTCGTGAATTAATATTTCTGAAAATCTGAATCCATTTCAATTCATTTCAATCTTCATTTACTGGGATGTTATATAAAAGACATTTTCCTAATATAAATTATAAGTTTTTTTAACACAATAACAATAAAATGCATTTAAAATGTAATATATTTTCAATTTATAGCCATGCATATTAAAAAAATATTATTTTATTCACTAAACTTTTAGGTTACTCAATAATTAAATTTTTTGGACAGCTGACCTTGAATTTATTTATTTTTTTTTGTAATTTGGAATATCAATTTTAAGACATTTGAACTATATTTTTCCTTTAAACATTTTTGTTTTAGAGTTTTATATTTTTATATGAAACAGTGAAACAGGTACATTTTTCTCATTTTGTTAACTATATTTAGTTACAATTTGTTATAAATATATGACTATATATACAAATACTTTCTAAAGATGTCAAAAAATATAACATTTAATAATTTATATATACTTACTTGTAAAAATGATGAAAATTAATCCAGGATACAATGATGACCGAACGTGCGTAGTAGTGCCTAAAACTAAGATATGTATTAAGGACTAGTTCGCACGATTAATTATTCATAAAAGGATGACACACAATCATATATCATGGAATAGATGTTTCATACGGTTTATTTATTTGGAATCAAAACGCAATGGAAAAAACAGAATTTATTATTATTTTGCGATAATTACGGACAATTATTTTTGTTTAACGTAACATTTTTGTCTCGCTTGAGTAATTCGATTATATTTCGAACGGTACATATGAGTCATAAAAGAGGAAATACTCTCATGCAAATAACGCAATTTATGCGATTTCTTCAAAATTAATATAGTTTGTGTAATTAATAATTTAGTTAACTTTTTGTTTTCGTGCATCTTTCGATATAAAAATCCGTATAAAAAAATTGAGCTTAACTTTGGAATTATTTGTCGGTAATAAAAGAAATATTTCTCTTTTATATTAATCTCTAGCCCATTCCATTGACTCTAATCATATTTTACAGACATCGTCTATAAATAAAAATTCAGCCTTTTTATATCTGCTCTGAATCTCTTAATGGTGACGAATTGCAAACATGTGTTTGATATTCGTTTTTAAAAGTTTTTAACCGATAATTGCATAATATTATAGATAAGCTGTATATTACATTTTTCAGATAATCTTCCCTCTTATGGGTAGTCACGACATTGACGTAGTGAAAAGGCTCAAAACCCGAAGGATATACACGAAAGAATGGTTAAGTATCTAAAAATTTTCAGATTCTATCTAAATGGTATATCTACATACATAAATTTTTAGATACTTGAGTAAAATCGTTCTCTTTGTCGCATCCAAGGTCGAGGAAGCCTCGAGCCTAATGTAACCTCATCGCCGATTTAGTTGAAAGTGAACGAACCGATTCGTCGTGTCACGCGTTTGCTTCGGGAGTGCCGTTCAAATTATCGGACTAATAGACATTTCAAATTCGATGGAATTCTAATTATAATTAATTATATAATTAGTCCACGCGCGATTATAATATATTATTCGCGAGTATTTTACGCGAGTGTCCTGTTTGAGAGGATGTCAACCTAATTCTAAAAGGAGGAGGTCTGAGAAAGACAGATACCGGTGAAGCAACCTTGCGGTAAATATCATTTTTTGCTTATATAAAATCAGTATTTTCTTTCTGTTCATTCTTTGTCAAGTCATTTTATTTT